AGTCGTAATAAATCATTGCACGAAAATTTTCACGAGTTAATTCCATTTTTTCGCTGAGACACAATTTTCAAGTGACTGTAAATAATACAAATCGCGCTCAAATAACCATAACGTTCTGAAGAAGGTTATGGTCAAAAATGTCAAACTTTCTAGTGGAAACGTCAGATGGCACCTGACAACACTCAGTGTTGCCAAGGCTCAAAATATAAGTAGTGCCCCTCGTATTACTTTGTTTCAAAAAAATATTTTACTCTCAGTATTTTTCGACGATTACTTTCATCAAGAAATCGTTTTAAATCTTCATCGTCACTCTCACTTGAATTAGAACTTGCGAAAACTGTCTCGAATATTATTGCTTTATTTATATTTATTTTGCAAATTATATAATAATTACAAAAAGAAAATAAAAGCAAGCTCATAAGCTGCAACTTGGGAAAAAATTCATATGTATGAACATATGTTATATTGACGACCGTCGGGTTCGGAACACTTTTCGGTTTAGTTACGGAGCTGCCAACATCTAGGAAAAAAAATAAGCTAAACTAACTCGGTTCGGAATACACCCCATATCTTTTTATGATAAATCTCTATTTATCTAGGACTCTATATAAACGCAAAAAATTCGATTTTTTTTTAATTCTAGATTGGCGCTACCACTTAAAAAAATATGTATGCAAAATGGATAATTTTTAAAATAAGCAGCTATGTATTTGCTTTACACCAATGAAACATATGATTATCTCAAGATATCTCGTAAATTATTAGTTTTTCTATATCTCTACCTTAATACTTTCATATGCAGAATAATTACGGAATCACATTACATAAAAAAATTATACAATTTCATTTAAAAAAATGGAGATGATTTTTATATCTTTTTGGCGCCCCCACTTAGAAGAAAGACAACATGACCAAAATACATGCCCCTTGAAACCTTGAAACCACTTTCATTTGAAACATTTTTTCCTATCCTAAAAACCAAGCGAGATTTTTCAGATGCTCGAGTGAGTCAGACACCCTGTATATTTAAACCGTGTAGGTATCTAATGGTGAATTCGATTGAAGGCACTGGTGCATATTAAAGCCGTTGTACATTGATTTATTTTGAGTATAAAAGTGAAATATAAATATTTCGAATTATAAAATATATATTTTACCTAACAGTACAATAAAGTGTATTGAGTATTTCAGGATTTAATCGATTTCTATGTTTATATATAAAGATATCTTTACGTTATTTTGTGTACGACGGCTTTAATGTGCACCAGTGCGCATTGAGTGCGTTCAATCGAATTCGCTATTATATTACGGCAAATACTCTTTTTCGCAATGTTCTTCCTTCACAATAATCTTTCTTTGTACATGTTATCATTTTTTATGTTTAGTTGCTGTCTTCTTACGAGTGTGCTGCGCATAAAAATTAGCTCTCTTATTCTACATACCTTATTTGTTATGTTATATCTAATGTCATAAATACCTATTTGCTTCTTCCAATAAATATCGCGTAATAAAAACTTTCATAAACACACTTATGTATAAAAAAATTCATCGAATTTATCGATCGATAGATCTCATTTCATTATACAGCCACACACCTTAAAGAAATAATTATTATAGGATTTCATTGATTGGATTTACAATGACAAAATTAATATCTCTGCTATTAAGTATTATGATATTGCGGAAATTGATCGTCTTGTGAATCTATTGGAATTGGGCAGACTATTTGTAGCAGACAAGTTAATACAAGACGTAACCGAAAGACTTGAGGAATATAATATATCACCAGAAAATGCCATTAAATTATGGATAACAGCACAAAATTTGAGTATCAATGTGCTACGAGATATTTCTTTGGCTATTTGCCTGGATCGTTTTGATGAACTGCCGCTTCAATCAATTATAAATCTAACAAAAGAAAATTTTCTGAAGTTAATTGGAAACAGTAATATAAATTCTACGGAATCTCTTTTGCTTTATGTTACAAATGAATGGATGAACCATCATCATGTAATTATCTTTAAATATAAAACTTACATTATCCTAACAAATAAAACTTCAAAATTAAAATTATTAATTTTTAGATTAATACAGAAACTATGCCTTTATCTTCGTTATTTAAAATTGAAAATGGAACGGATTATTATTTGATAATTATTTGTACCGTAAAATTTGATTTATCGCACTACCGCGTTTCAAACTCGCATCGTTCATCAAGTTGTATGTGAACGTGTAGTTGTATATTAATAAGTCATATAAATAAATTTGTTTAATTATACTATTTTGTTTTCTTAGTATATTATTATATTCTATTGTACATTAATATATTACAATTCTATGTATAGTATGACCTCTTCTTTTTTGCAGGATTTTACAATTCCTTTAGATATTATAAAAAATAAAACAAAAATTTTTAGCTGTATTATATCTTGTGAGGGCAGTGACATTATTAACAGTGAGCAATTTATTCATTGCTGGGACGGTAACGAATTCTTTGAACTTACTTCATTCAAGTATCCCAAAGATATTATCGATTGTAGCACTAATGAAGAGACTGCATTAACAGGAATGGAGATTATTGGAAGAAGTATGCAGTTTGTTTGATTTTATATTCTGTCTTATTTAAAATAATATTATCCTATTTATTAATTATTTTATATGATGTTTTTAGGAAACAATTTATATCTTTGCGGTGGAGAATTTGGTATTAAATCAGGCAAATTTAACAAAAACATATGGCGTTATTGTCTGATATCTAAGAAATGGTTCCTTGAGACAGGGTAAATATATCCTAACGATTAAGTAAATATAAGAGTAATAAAATAATGAAAACGTTATTTATAAAATTCGATAATGTTATTTATTAAAGTTTATAAATATTTTAGTATGCCAAGTGAAAGAAGAGACATGATCGCTGTATTTTTAAAAAATAAATTAGTGCTTGTGGGTGGTAGGGGACGGGATGGACAATTTCTGCGTAGTGTTGATATCTATGACATCTATACAGGTAATTTTAATTATGCAGCTACACAATTCATTAATCTAATATCTATGAAAAGTATACATGGAATAATTCACTTGAGTTTATCCATAACGATTCCAAACAAAGATGATTATATATAATATGTGATAATGTGATGATTGTATATCGTAGGATTATTTTTCATAAAATTTATATCTTTTACAAGCTTTTTATACCTTTTAAATTTATAGCTTTTACTTTTTTTTTATTGATAACTTTTTTATAGTTTTTATTGAAAAAAATATTATTTTGTTATGTTTAATTTTACTTTAGTATTTAATAATCAACGTCGCATAGGTATGTAGACATCGATTGCAAAAGCATTTTTAGATTTTATTAATTTTTCTAAATGTTTTTCTTTTAACGGCACAGGTTTGTGGACATTTGGTGCGAAAATGTTGAAAGAAATGGAATATGACGAATATTATGATCCCGAATATTATGTTTGTAATGGAAAATTAATGATAAATCTATTTAAGCCTCATGATTGCTCTAAGGGTAAGTAGAATATTACAAGAATATCGGCAGATTGATAGCAGATTTGATCAGCAGACTGATCGTCAGATATTATGATTCTCTGTGAAGTTTGTTACCCTTCTGCCATCAAAAATTTAAATGGACTCTAATCAGAATCTATTTCTGCAGTAACGTATTTCATTCTTCATTCTTATTGTCCTGTTGAAAACGTATGGGAAAAAAGGAGTAGTCTTAAAAATTTGATATATGTATATCCCATAGATAACGATATTCCAATATTAGAGCTTAAATCTCTTCCATGTTACATTGGTAAATATTATAATTCATGTACTATAGAAATGTTAAAGAAATTTTAAAATTTATATTTGCGTGGTTTGCAGATACTTCTGATCCGGATAACATGATTTTAAGAGCTCTCACAACATTCCATAAAGAATGTAAACATGAACAGAATATTACACGTGTCTTACTTGGTACTGTACGTAAGAGTTTACGGGATTTCAAATACGATGAGCATCTCCATATGTCAACGTACATTTCAATGTATCATCCATGTACCAAATGTGGCTCAGATATCTTAGTATGTGTAGATACGACAGATTCTTCCGACACAATAGGCTTGCTTAATATTCCTATAAAAAATCCAAAGAAATTTGATTCCCTTTTATTTTTTCATTCACCCTTGAGATTTTTTAACTTAATTGATCCAGCGCACTTGCATACAACAAACTTGAATAATTGATTTATGTAAATCTACATTGAGATTAAATAAAAATATATATCTACATAAAAATCCAGAAAAATATAGTAAATGTTGTAAAAACATTCCAAAGAATGAATAGATAGAACATATACATATTAAAAAAAAGAATGTCATATCAACTTCCCGTGAAAAATGTTTCATATATAATTATATACATAATTATATAAAATTATATACAATTACATAAAAAATTGACATATTTTATACCCTATTATATGTAATTATATATGAAATATGTCCATATATATATATATATAACATTTTTTTCCGAACTTTTATTTGCCGTGACATTTTCCATTGATTGTCATATCTCTTTAATCATTATGAAGTGCCAAATAACGTATTTAATAATTGTATAAGCTTTATCTCTATGTGTACGACATACAAATACTTGTATCTATATAATTTATAATAAAATACATAAATGTGAGTATCTTCTATTGTCTTCTCTTTAAATTTTTTTGAGTGAAATCTACTTCAAACGAAAGGAATCTCATTCCAAAGAATTGAGAGTGTACCGACATTTTTTTAAATCAATGATTCTATAGATTCCAAACCGAACTTTGTGAAAAAGATAATGATATATATAACTATATAGCTTCCCCGGCCTTTATTTCATCACAGTCATAATTTTTATGGAAAAAGATTGGATAAATTTCATAATCCAATCTCTGCTTTGTAGAATCCCTAAAGAAATCTTTTTAAAAAAAGAAGGAACATACGCCAAGTGCATAAAAGTACATTCTTCTTAATCAAAAACGGATATGAAATAAAAGTAATTAGACGATTAATTCATTACGCAAGACACATAAGACTGAAAATGACTAAAATTGTCAATATATTGATATAAAATTGTCAACGGATTGTAGTAAAGAAGATACTTGGCGTACTCGGGTCGCATTAAAACGCAATATTGTAGGACCAATACGTTTTCATAATACAGAAATTGTTTGCAATATGAATTAATAAAAAGGTTATTATACGTACCATACAATATTCTGCAGATATACGCATAGATGAAAACAATAATTCAACAAAGAAAAGACGTCAATAATTGCTTACTAATCTTGTAAATTC